TTTGCATGTGAAGTTACAGGAAGTGATGACAAAGGGGAATGTCTTCATGTAAACAGAGCATTGCTATAATGGCTAACAGCACAGATTGTAGAGAAAATTCTGGTGTTTAGCATATTTTAAGTTTATCAGTGATAGATGAAGAGTCAGAGTTCAAATAATAAGGTTTCAATAAAGAAAAAACAGGGAGTTTCTTTTCTTGAAGAGTTCCCCTTAAGTGTCACTTCCTGGTTTACTTTGGCTGAGCCAAGTTCAAAAGAAAATATGCCAATTATGCATAAAAATGGGTAAAATCTAGTGTATAATCCAAGTTTCTCAATTCAAGGCTGGCTCTAGCCAATTCAGCACCCTGGGAAAAATTTCAGATGGTGACACTTGAGCAATATTTTAAATCTTACTGTCAATTCCCATATATCCACATCACTCATTTGTGGTGCCCTCTAGACTGACGGCACCCTTASCCTTCACCTATACTGCCTATGCTACGGGCCGGCCCTGTCTTATATATAAAAATGTTTACTTAAACTTTTTGTTTTTGAAGGATAAGCATGTCAGAGGCACTTTAATGTACACCACCCGCCAAAAAAAAAAAAAAAAAAAAAAGACGCCACCTGGATTTAACTAAGTGCTATGATGTGGGGTTGCAGCAGTTGGTCAGGTCTAGGTTCAGCAACAGTTTGTGCTCAAAGAATGAGGCTAGCTGACTACCTGAATGAGCAAGTTATTCCATCAATGGACTTTTTCTCCCCTGATGGTATGGGCATATTCCAAGATGACAATGACTCYWRGGGTAAGAGTTGTGAAAGAGTGGTTCAGGGAGCATGAGACATCATTTTCACACTTTAATTGGCTCCACGGAGTCTATTGAGAATATTTGGGATGTGCTGGAGAAGGCTTTGCACAGCGGTCAGACTCCACCATCATCAATGCAAGATCTTGGGGAAAAATTAATGCAACACTGGAAAAAAATAAATCTTGTGTCATTGCAGAAGCTTATCGAAACAATGCAGCAAATGTGTGTCTTTATCAAAACTAAAGGCAGTCGAAAGAAACATTAGTGTGACTTTTTTTTTGTAGTGACTTTTCTTTTTTTGGCCAGGCAMTGTACAAGGCTGTAATCYTATAATRGAAATTATTAGCATATTCTAATTTTTTTAGCAAGTTTCAAAAAGTGTAAATTGCACAAATATCTAAAAGTCATTGGAGGAATGTACTTAATGAGCTGAACGTCTCTGTGAATTGCTAAAATAGCACCAACATGTAGAAAGAGTTTGAGCTGTGAAAAATAAAAAAACTGGGAGAACTAAAGAATAAATGATAAAGAGGAACAGTAACCCAGTGTTGTGACTGCATTCACACAACTAACAGGTTGTTCTCTCTGTTGCAGTATTATGAAATGTCCTACGGCCTTAACATTGAAATGCACAAACAGGTGAGTCAGCCTTGAACCTCTATNACTGGAGCGGAGTCAGTGAAATGCTGGAACGGACTGCTAATATCGGAGCGCTTATATCGGACATTTTTTATGCAGGCCGATAAAATCCGATACTCGTTTTTTGGCWGATATCGGACCGATATCCGATATCGATATCGGATCGGGACACCCCTAATGTGTAATTCACTTGTGGGTTGGTTTTTGTTGTAAAACCTTCTCCTGTCCTAAATCTAAGTGTGCATGAAACGTTTATGAAAAAAAACAAGCCATCAGTGTAAGTATAGCAGGAATTTGAGTTACACTTGGCCAGCTTTATGTTCTCAGTGTGTGTCTAGGTGTGTGTATTTGTGCCTGTGCTCACCCTTGAGAGATGATGAAACAGTACACAAGCTGGGTGGAGCTTCTTGTGTGTGTGTTTGATGACTTGGGGTCTAGAAGATTGGCTGAGTGAAAAGACTGATCAATAGTTAATGAGATGTAAAGTGATGAGTCGCATACCTGGAGGCTGGCTGGCTCGCCAAATAGTCCTGAAGCTGCAAGGCTGGAAACATGATTGTTGAAGCCCTCCATGTAGGCAAACATGCTCATTTTCATGCTATTCTTGGATCAGCCGCATCACATAGCTCCACTCAGGGGTCTACAGTGTTCAGCACGACCCAATAGGAGGTGATGCTGTTCGGTTTTTTCAGCTGTCTATTAAAGACAAGAAAATTCTCACCAGACATATCAAAATGTTGATGGAAACAAAACTTCATACAATATATTCTTAAACATTTGTTTTGGAATTTGCTATGACTCTGCAATATATTATACATAGAACTGTTTATACAGTTTTCTTAGGTGAATGATATATTTTTTATAAACTATTGTGTGATTATTTTTGTGATTAAAATGATGATTATATATACAGGCTGCTCTGGATGACTAGACGATATGGTCACGCAGAGCAGGATGCACATATACTGTATGTAGATACATTCCTGAAGATATTTACAACATACAAATATTTTAATGTGAGAACTCGGGTTTTCTGTTGTCACAAGTTTCTGGTCACATGATAGGGTGAACCAGCTTGCCTCTAGAGAGTGGCCAGAACCTGAAGAAAGTGTTAATAAGCAATTTGCGTTATTTATTTTATTGCTTTTTACTTTTTTTTTGCACAAAGGTCTCACTTTTTCTTCCTTTGCAGGGTTGAGGTTGTGTGTCTTGTAAACAGTCAGTCTAATAATTAAATCAGAAAAAGTATTACCTCCCACATCCCTCACCTGAAACGAGAGTATTTAAAATGTATAGGTTTTAAAATAAAACAGACATGTACACAGCTTTCTGGATTTGATTTCTAGTTTGGTTTGAAGAGCCATTATGTAATAATATTCCAGATAAAGTTAAATGGGTGAAAGAAGTTCTGTAAAGTAATTGTAAAAAAGGGTAGTGGGGATGTTGGTGACATGTATTAACACTTAATTGAAGCTTCAATCAGGACTCGAACCTGTAACCTCAGGATTATAGGACCACTGAGTATACCACAGACCCATTCACTTAAAACGCAGACTTTGTTAAATCAGATCCATCTGTAAGTGATCCAAGTGTGAAAGCATAGTCTGATCATGTTGGAGAACATCTCCCCTCTGTCCTCAGTTTTCTGTTCATGTTTGGTCTGTTTGCTCCAAGCTGCTAAATGATCATTTGTTTTATAATTTAAGTTTTGCAAAAGGATTTTATGCAAAATATCTCAACTGTTTGTTTCAACAGAATTAGCTGCAGCTATTCCTGCAAATAATAAAATCACATGAGATCTAATGTGGGTAATGTTTGAAACAATGAGTTAAACAGCAGAACGTGTCCACAGGGCACAATATTTTATGCCCCAACGAGAGACTAATGGAGCTGCCTGCAGTTCTGATCACTGCTGAAAGGGGGAGATATTATGAATGTGATAAATTCACTGACACAGGCGGGCAATAACCTGTACCACCCAATAACTGTAAATAAGTTTAAAAAAAACTGAGAATGAGTTGGTTAAAAAAATTTAAAATCCTTTAGATGAAACTACTTTGTGAGGCATTTTTTTATTTTAGATGGAGCTGTTTACATTTATTGTACTTATACTGTATATACAAAGCTGCCATTGTCTTTTCATACACATGCACATCCAAATTCTCCCACGTTGCAACTGGTGTGTGTGTGTGTGTGTGTGTGTGTGTGTGTGTGTGTGTGTGTGTGTGNTTCATTCTTGTCACTATAAGACAAAGACGGTTCTGTTCTCCACAGCAGCTGAAGATGAAGATTTGAGAAACGCTGATGAAGCTGAGGTGGAAGCAGCAGAGAGGGACAAACACACCTGCTGTGGACTCACCTTCTCGTAGTATTTGATCTCGTACTCTGTGATGACTCCGTTGGGCTGCTGGGGCTCCTGCCAGGAGAGCTGGACGCTGCGCTGCTGCACCTTCTCCTTGATCACCTCGCTGACCTGGGACGGAGCTGTTTGGACAGGAGCAGGTCAGTGAGTGGAGGACAAACCTCTCAACACACACACACACACACACACACACACACACACACACACACACACACTGACTCAGTCCTCTGTCTCTTCATTGTGACAACAACCCACACAGAAACGATCCACAAGCACACATACATTTATCAGGATCCGTTTCTCTTGAACCTGCAGATGGACAGAACTTAACACAGATTCATTTAAAGGCATTTAAAATATTGTTTACTATAAGATAGATCACATTATTATCAGACGTACATGTTGATGTTGTGTTTAAAGAAGAAAAAATAGACAATGTGCGACTCCCTCACTAATATTTTGGTTTGTTCCACAGCACCAGCAACAGGTGGTCCAGGCAATGGAGCGCGCCAAACAGGTGACCATGGGGGAGCTAAATGCTTCGATAGGGGTACGTGGGCTCCCCCCTCTGCCTCATAGCGTGTGTACCCTATACTCGCATTTTTTAATTTTTCCTCTTTTCCTTTGCTTTTTTACAAGGCAAATGAATTGTTTCCAGCTTTTAAATATGCTGACTTATCGGCCAAAATCTCAAAATTCTATTCATTCTTTTAGTTTACAAAATGTCCTGAATGTGTTCCAGAGCTGAGAACAGCATTCCTGAAATTTCAGTTACAGCCCAACAACAAAGTCTTTAATGATTTGGCAAACATTAAGGTGCAAATTAAAAATAAATATATTAAATTTTCATCCCTTTGGTTTAACCCCAGAACCTTCCCTTCAATAGAGCCACTGCCTTTATCTTGGCGTTTCTGTGCACATCGCAGCAATTAGTTCCCTTCTTCTTTCTCTTTTTTCTCTTAATTACTTCCACTTCTTTCACTACATGTAAGTCAACCAAACGTCTCTCTCCTGCCTTCTCCTTTTTTTGTTTTGTTTTTTTTTGTTTTGTTTTCCTCTCCGCAGCAGCAGCTTCAGGCCCAGCACCTATCCCAGCATGCTCAGGGTTTGCCAGTGGGACCACACCCATCAGGACTGCCCCACCCCAGCCTGGCGCTCGGAGGAGGGTCGGGCCTGCTCGCTCTGTCCGGTGCTTTGGGGGCCCAGCTGGCTGCCAAAGATGAAAGAGCGCACCTGGAGGCGGCAGCGGCTGCTTCAGCTGCCGCTGCAGAGCACCACAGAGGTACGGTGACTCTTCAAATGATGCACGACTTCCTTTATTTATTTATTTATTTATTTATTTATTTATTTATTGCAGCTTTTCTGTCCTTTGACTGTCAGTCATCTGTGGTCTGAGTAACCATTTTCAGGAGACGCCTTTCCTTCTTTTCTGTTGCTAATCTCATCAGACAGACTTCTAAAACACTGTTACACTGTGGGGGTGTTTAATAAGATCCACAAACAAAATTCGGTCATCCACAGCAGAGGGATGAGAACACTCTGCCCTTCTCTCTCTCTCTCTCCCATCATTAATCCCTGTTTGTTACTCCCTCCATCATTCCCATCCCGCATGTTTTTTCTCTTTTTTTAATATGATGCTACTTTTTTTTTCATAAAGCATTTCTTTATTTCCATTTATTACACGGTCCTCTCTCTCTCTCTCCTTCTTTTCACTATTTTCTCTTTCTCCATCTCTTATTCCCCACCTCCACCACATCGACCCCCTCGCAGACACACAGTCCATGCTAAATTTCACTTTAAATCAGGTCACTGCCTTTCTGCTGTCTCCTCTCTATCTTTTGCTCTCTTCGTTCGTTTCATCTTTTCAATCACTCGTGCTACCGCCGCCACCACTCCAGCCCCCTCCCCCCACCTCCACCCAGTCTTGATTTTAAAAAATTTCCCTCCCCCGCCTCCCTTCTGTTTCTTCTTTTCTCTGTTTCTCTTCTCCCTCCCACATCCTTCCTTCACGGGCTGTCATTTCCTCAACCCAATCTGCCCTCTTCCTCCTCTTCTCCTTCCTCCGCCTCCTCTTTTCATTTCCCCTTTCCCATTTTGTCCTCCTCTCTTTTCTGTCTCTCTCTCCTGAAGATGTCATTTAGTAGCTGAAGTTCTCTAACAAGAAATCATTGTGTCTCCCTCGGGGTGGGGGGTGATGGATACAGAGCACGGAGGGAAAGAGGGCAGGGGTTGTGAGAGGAGAAGTGGGGCGGGGTGGCTGGAAAAATAGAGAGCGCACAGAGGGAGAGATGTGCACATGTCAGAGGGCTGAGAGAGGAAGAGGAAGAAAAAAGAGGGGTAGAAGTTCAGTCCAGCATCAATAAATCACTTAAGAGATGGGGGGGGGGCACAGACAAACACCCCTGCATAAATGTGCATTCTCACATTTTTAGGCACACACACACATGTTCTTGTATCCTCATGGGGACTTTGCATTGACTTCCATTCATTGACTGGTCATTTCTACAGACTAACCTTGACCTTTTATCCCAAACCTAACCTAAATTCACGTCACACCCTGACCCACCAATGGTATTTCCCCCAATGGGGACTGGGCTTTTGTCCCCATAAGGGACAGTGGGTCCTCACCAGGCTGTGTGTATTGGGAAAATGATCAAACATCGTCCCCACCAGGCAGCAAAAACATGTACACACACACTCCCACAGTGGAATCTAGCCGTCAACAAGATAAACAGGCTGCAGCCATAATGATGTCGTCATGATCTCTGCATGCATACCATTACTGGCCCTAACGGCCTCGCTGGACCTGACGCTGAAAATGTTTGCGTGCACGTGTTTGTGTTACACACAACATGGCAGCGCTTGTAACATTGATTACCGCGCTAATGCTAAGGAGGAATGGAACGAGAAATAGATGGATGGAGGGCTGGAAGGAGCAATAAAAGAAAGTGAAAGAAGACGAAGGAGGGAGAGATGGTTATAAGGGAAGGATGGGGAAAGAGTTTGCTGTTAGTTGGGTAGAACACACACACACACACACACACACACACACACACACACACACGTTTGTTTTTATATCCCAGTGGGGACCGTGGATTGACTTCCATTCATTTTCTGGTAATTTTATAGCCTAACCCTGACCATTTCCTCTAAAATTGAACTCACAAGTACCTACCTGACCCTAAAACAAACCTAAACTCAATTCATACCTTGGATGACACATGGGGACCGGGCATTGGTCCCCACAATGCACATTCGGTCCCCACAAGGCTGCCTTTTTCTGAAAAATGGTTCCCACAATGTAATGCCCACACACACGTGTGATTCATATCTGCTCTTTCTTGGTTGCTTTCTCATCTCCAGCCCGCTCACTCAATCGTTTCCTGTCTGATTTGCTCTCTCTTTCTCTCCATCCTTGGAAACTTCTCTCCCTCCCTCTCAGTGTTTTTTTTTTTTTTTTTGCCAAAGACTAATTATTACAGGCAATCATTTCAGCATGAAATCTTTACTTCCTGCTTCTCCCCTCCCTCACTAATTTTCTCCTCCTCTCCATCTCTTTTATGCTCCTGCAGTAACATGATGGAAACACACACACACACACACACACACACATACATATTCACGATGTAATTCCATTCCTTAAAGTCCATTTTGTGGTGAATGGTTATTGCTTTCTCAGGTCAATCTTGAGGTCTTTCTTATAAGCACAGGAGGTGTTAGTCTGGTCGTGTGTGTGTGTGTGTGTGTGTGTGTGTGTGTGTGTGTGTGTGTGTGTGTGTGTGTGTGTGTGTGTGTGTGTGTGTGTGTTGTGTTAATATTGTGACACTGTCGTTCCATTTCTGGTGTCCCAAAATGTATCATTTTAAGGATAACAAATGGACTTTCTTTTACTCTGACTCTCTTAATAGGATACATTAGCATAAGTTACCGCTGCTCATTTTCTAAAACTTAAATCTGATGAGCCAAAGTGGTTTTATTAATGACATTTTAGCTGTGAGTTGATTATTTTAAAGTACCCTAAAAATGTGTAATCTTTAACAAATCCTCCAGAAATAAAAGGACTTTGAGGAACCTCTGCAAATTATAGAACATACCATCTAGAGCAGAGGTTCTCAAATGGGGGTCCACGAGCGGTATCTTGGGGGTCCTCAAAAGTTTTCAATAAATTGTTCATGTGATTTTTATTTTTTAAAAATACATATGGGGCACACAATACACTAGTAAAGCAAACATACTAAATCAAACTAAAGAATTTTCCCCATGGTATTTAGGAGGTAAAATGATAATGATGTTAACTATTTTTAAAATAGCATGGGGTTTATAAGGGTGTCCCTGGAAATTTTTTACCCTTGTAAGGGGTCCCCAGATCCAAAACGCTTGAGAACCCCTGATCTAGAGCTAGTTAACAAAAGTTTAATGATATTTTTTGCTTTATTGAATGAGGGACAAAATTAAATCAGTCTTAAAGATCAGGTAATGATTATTGCAAAAAAGCTAAATTTTTTTGCTAAAGTTTTTTTAGAAAACCTTTTTGTACATAAATGGAATAATTTATACATTTTATAGTAGGTGTTCCAAATCAGCACATTATTGATTTCTACCTTTTTTTTTGTAGTAATTAGTATTTTAAAAATCAAATCCAATCAGCTGATTAAATACTGATAATGTCCCGTAGTCACAGATATATAAGTTACACCGCTTAAATCTAGAACAAATTCTTATCTTCTTCCTTAAAGCTCAACCCAAGTTTTTTTTTAATTTCTCGTGATTAAAAAGTTAAAATTGGTAATTTTTGGACTAACAGTTGTGTTTGTTTTCTGAGTGCCTTCTACCATAATGCAGTTCCATTCTTATAAAATCTACAGCCTGGGTTGTGGGGTAGTAGCTAATCCTCACTACATTTTTATCCCCCCACTACCTTACTTCCCATTCTGCTTTCCTCCCTCTCCTCCTCCATCTACTCAACTGGCTGGCAATGATAAATGAGTCAATTATGAGTGTGTGTGCACGCAGCGCGGCAGAAAAGGAGCGGATGGGGACGTTATTACCTGTTGCGGCTGGGGGTAATGTTGCGGTATTAATCATATTCTAATTTTCCTCCTTCTGCGCACCCCCAATGTCCCTTCTCAACACAGCCCCCTCCATTCCCCCAATCAATCTATCCGCCGCCTGCAAACAAGTTTGTGTAAACCGCCAAAAACCCCAAACTGGATCAGATTCCTTCAGGGGAAGCCAGGAGTCAGAGGTGGGGCAGGGAAGATGGAAAGGTAACACAAAGTTTACGCTCACAAATGACAGCCCGCACCACAGTACCTGTTGTGCGTGGGAGGGTTCGTGTTGTTTTAGTCGATGGTGCGCGTCTCCATTTTTTTTGTAACTTGTCATGCGAGCCAGGAGATGTTTAAAAACAGGAGCGAGCCAAAGTCTGCAAGAAGGTCTGTACAAATCTCTGGAAACAAAACAAAACCAAGTCTTTGCAAGTGTTTCCAAACCTTTAAAAACTGCTTAAAATTAAATCAGACTTAGTTAACACTGAGTTATGTTTGTGGATGAAGAACGTACTTGTACCATTCTTGCTGTATGGCGACAGTAACCACAACACTTACCGTTTAGGAGGGAAACTAGTTATTACAGTATGTATCAAACACAAGTATAAACAAAAACATGACATCACAACATCATGTAAAAGTGTTTGTTTTTGTACATATCTCAGTACAGATTTTTCCATTTTTTTTTTTTTTTTTTTGGACATGGAACCAATCTGTTGGGTAAGAACCAGATTTTTTGGACACACAGGAGAGGAGTTTGGCTGATCTCGTCTTAGATTGTTTTGTTGTTGTTTTTATGTATGTGTGTGTACATCACCAGAAACAAAAATAGACAATGTCCTGACTGTTAAAGGAGATGAGTGATTACAATGGTTAAAAAAATAAATAAATCAGTGTGGCTTGAGAAGTGGAGGAGGAAATGGACAGATACAAAGACAGAAGGACTAGCTGATAATTAGGAAAGCAGCAAAATGAGAAAGAAGGTCCACAGATAAACTGAAAATTGTCCAGGAAGAGGAGGGGGTGGTGGGGGAGAGACACCTTGGATGTTCCTCCCTGCAGTCTTGGCTGGATTTCAGGCCCCAAGCGTGACTTTGTCTATTTCTGCTCTGCTCTGAGGTGATAATGGGCTGTCAGCACTCCAGTCACCCTATTCCCTCCTCCCAAGTGAGTGATGAAGGGAGCGAAGATGGGGGAGTGTGAGGCTAGAAGCGCGGGGGGGCTGTGAAGAGTGTTGGAGGAGTAATTTGTTATATTGCTAATTGCGTTGTGTATTTTTATTTGGGGGTATGAGACGAATCCAAAACAATTTATCTGTTCTTCTCTGTTGCAGTTTGAAACTGGAGTGTGAGAAACTGGCCACAGAGAAAACTGAGATCCAAAGACACTACGTTATGGTGAGAAGCACCGAGCACACAAACACACATGCAATGCCTCCGCACATTTCGCTCACAACAAAATCACTGCCAATCCCCTAAATCCTTTTCATCTGCTTGCAGCTGCCAAACAACACCCAGGAAAAAAAAAGACACACTTAAGACCACACAAGCGCACAAACATATACAGTTCTCCTATTGGACTTTTAAAGTATTAATTAATTTCATCACTTTTCCTAGTCAAAGGGTGTTTATTGTGTTAAGAGAAAAGCCAAAATAAAAAAGTTTGTTTTTATTTTTGTTAAAAGTTTTATCCAATACTACTTTTACACAAAGTATACTCAAGTAGCAACATGTGCCCATGCTCAAATATCTYGTTTTATACTTTCATTCTTAACTTTTTTAATCTTTATTTGTTTCTTTTAAACAAATTAATTCTATGTACAAATATAAAACAAGAAAAAAACACAAATACAATTAAACGAAACGGAGAAGAAAAATCTTATATCTGCCCCGTTTTTCTTCAAGTATAAACTCAAACAATACTAATCTTCAGTTAACATAAAACAAAACATGGAAAACGTCAAATCCTTCTAGAACACAAATTTACACAAATACATATTCTACTGTTTCATATTTCTTCGAAAGCCCAACTTTTATCATTTTCTTGAACATATACATTAATCTTGCATTTTTCACGTCCTCTTCCAGATTATTCCACAATCTGACTCCTTGGATTGAGGTGCACTGTTCTTTCACACTGGTTATAAATTTATGTTTCATGAACATCTCTATTCCCTTTAGGTTATAACAGCTCCCTCTCTTAATAAAGTTCATCTGAATGTTTAAAGGTAATGTCTTTTAGTG